CAATTCAGCTCAAGTCAGTGTCCATCCCCTATTCAAAAGAATCATCCCTCATGCTGATCTTTGTAGCTTGTCCCTGAAATCCTGTGCTCCTGCACATTTGATGTACTCTCAATGACTCACCAATAGAAACCCCTTGAGCTTGCCCCTGCTGTTATGATTTTGTATGTGCAAAGGAAATTTTGAAAGATGTCATTATTTCCTGTGCTGGTCCTTGTTTTCCTGGAGATCTGAAACCATCTCCCAGGTTGTTTTTAGAAGGTATCAAAATACAGACCGCATATGGCCTATTGTCATGTATGAGGTACACAAAGAAAAAGATGAGTGGAAAAATGTCATTCTCAAAAAGCAACTGCTTTTGAAAACACTTGTCATTTGCAAAGGCTGTCTTTGACAACATAAATTAACATACAAGAGTAGTTTTGGTACTTACTGTGGGATGCTGAGTGATCACAATAAAACAATGAAATTATAGACTCATAGAATCAACTAAGTTGGAAAAGACCTTTAAGCTCATCAAGTCCAACTGCTACTCCAGGACTGTCAAGTCCACTGCTAAACCATGTCACCGAGGGCATCTGCATGTTTTTGAACACTTCCAGGGATGGTGATTCTACCACTTCCTGGGCAGCCTGTTCCAATACCTGATCACCCTTTCAGTGAAGAAATTTTTCCTAATATCAAGTCTAAACCTTCCCTTTTTCTCCCATGTGTCAACTGCACTACAGAGGTTGGTGTCATCAACAGACTTGCTGGGCAAGTTGGCAAAAATGCTAGATACCGTTTGCAGTTCGCTCTTGTGCAGGTAGGAGTGCTTCATCTTATAGCTGGCTCATTGGCTTAGCGAGTTGTTGCAAATGTGAGATTTGAGTTCCTGCAACATGCCTGCTGTAGGTGGGAATGCTGGTGCTCACCATGCCTGCTGTAGGTGGGAATGCTGGTGCTCACCATTAGCTGCTGAGGGGCTGCTCACTGCAGGGTAAATGGGCACAGAAAAAAGGTGAGATGGATGGAGAACCTCCCCCCTACCTCCCCAAGGGAGGCTTAGCAGGATGGGAGGAGGGGAAGGCTGCCCTGTCATTTTAGTCTAAATCTCACATGTGGGTGGGCATAAATGGATGCAGCAGCCTCCTTTTTGTTAGGATGTAGTGTTTGGGCAGCCAGGGCTTTTTGCCAAGAGGTGAGTAAGGCAGGGCAAAGCTGAGGGGAGATGGGTTGGTGGTTCCAGGCACCAACCAGCCCTGTATTCTTCCAGCAGCAGAGCTGTCTGGCAAGGCCCACTGCTGAGCCCCAGGATCCTCAGGAATGCAGGGAGCTGATAGAGGCAATGGGATGAAGGCAGGTATCCACTCTGCCCAGGGAAGAGTGGGCTGCTCTCCACCTGCTTTAGGGGTGACAAGGGTGTTGGGATCCTTGCTCCTCCCCAAGGGTAGGCAGGAGGTGGGGTAGCTGCAGGCCAGGTCACTATCCCATGGACTGGGATGTTCCATGCCACCCACCACATCCATTCCTGGGCAAGGAGCCTGTGCTTGCAGAGCAGGCTTTGTCTCTGCTGGGCTCAGTGGACAGGTAAGTCATATGGGACTTACCCTCTGGCAAAATACGCTTTTTGTCTTTGTTTTCAGGCCGTGCAAGAGAGCCACAGAGCAGACTTTCTGTGACTGACACACAAGAGCTTCACAGCACTGGTACAAGAGAAGAGGTTGCAGAGGGGAATTCTGTGAACACAAAATCCAGGGATATCATTATGGCATTGAAACCTGAACCTGGACATTGCTCAGCCTCTTCTTCCTCTTCCAAATCCCTTTCCTAAACCCACTGCTTTACAGCTAGCCTTCCAGGCTCTCCTGGACAACAGTCCACAGCCCACAAGCTGTTACTTGGCTGCAAAACCAGAGGAGTTAGAAGTAATGTCCATAAAAGTAAGCATATCTCTGGGAATTAGTGCTCTGGTTGTGCCAGCAAAGCCAAGTAACATTCCCAGGCAAGCAGTACTGAAAAAAAAAGTCACTTAAAAATGGTATTTTCTTCTTGGTGATGGCTGGAAAGCAGCCAGAGTTTCTGTGAGTGGGGTTAAAGCAGGCCCTCTTGCCCTTTGCTAGTCACTTGAGAGATGGCTTGATGGACAGCTGTGCATGCCGGTAGCCTTCCCTTGCAAATGTGGAAGAGGAGGATGACAGGGCTTTTAGGGAGAGATGGGAGGGTGCTGGGCTCTTTCTCAGTGCGAGAAACCCAAGCAATTCCTGCTGAAGACTGGCTGCAGGACCATCCCCTGGTTCCACTGCCTCTTGGGCTTTGCTCTTCTCTTTTTCCTTGTTGCAGTGCATTATGCAACATTGCAGTTTTCAATGCATGGCTTTCCTGGCATTTCCCATCCAGCATTCACAAGCACGACTGAGTCTCCTCTTTACCTAGCAATCACTGCTGGGGTTCATAATACTTTGACAGAAAAACCTGAACGATTTTCTTACGTGCCTGAACTACATATCCCTGCCAGAAAAATATTTCAGCTTAGGTGTGGCTGCAGGAGGTGGGGTTTTTGTTGTTTTGTTGGCTCCTTTTCATGGTTGCACTGTTTACCGTCTGGTTTGTGATAGCATGTTTCAGCACACAGAAAGGGGAAAACCGGCTGCAGCCTGTCCCTTGTTGCCACCAGATCATAGAATCACAGGATCACAGAATAGTTTGGGTTGAAAGGGGCCTTCAAAGCTCATCTAGTCCAAATTCCCTGCAGCAACCCGGGACATCTTCAACTACATCAAGGTGCCCAGAACCTCATCCAGCCCGGCCTTGAATGTCTCCAGGATTGGAGCATCCACCACCTCTCTGGGAAACCTGTGCCAGGATTTTACTACCTTCACTGTAAAAATTTCTTCCTCATGTCCAGCCTGAATCTTCCCTTTTTTAATTTAAAACTGTTACTCCTCATCCAGATGCATCAGGGATCACACAGGCTGTTAACATACAGCTTTTGAGGGCTACCACACCTTGAGAGGTGCCTCAGTTCGTTGTCCAAAGGACTGGCACAGCAGCACAATCCCCCAACTTTTTTTGATGCCTACGTCCCCCCCTTCCTACATCTCCATATGCAGGTGTTTCTGGGCACTGACATTTCTAACCTTCAGCTTTTCCTCCTAGATTTTATGTGTTTCTGCCCGTGTAGTGAGGTGGAAGTGCCTGCCTTACCAGGCAAGCACGGCTTTCCTCATCTAACTCAAACTCCTTCATTAAAGCAGGTTTTGATGCATGAGAGGCAGCTGACTCAGAATTAGGAGGGTAGGAATGAGGCATTCAGATTCCTGCAGACGTGAAAGTCACCTCTGACCCAGCCACAGAGGGGAGGGAAGAAGAGGAATATCTTTCTGGATGCTGCCAGGAAAGGCTCCCTGCCAGCCCTGCAAAGCCCCAGCTGTCCATGGCTCAGCTGCCGGAACAGCTTCTGCCACTCAGCTCCAGGCTCTTGTCTGCATCAGGCAGTCGAAGCAAAGGTGTGATCGCAAATGGGTTTCACTGAGACATCACAAATGTCCCATGAATGCAAGACTTCAGAAAAATCTCTTTGTTTTCGTGTGTCTGCTGACAAATGTGTATGTATAGGTAGGGAAAGTGCCAGCTCGGTGGGCTGAAAATGGGTACAGGAGTTCACCCAAGCACTTAAAAAGTATGCAAGGCTTTGAAAATAAAATAGTCAATAATACATTCAACTTCATATGATCATTGCTGTTGCATGCAGAGAATAGTATTCATTTTCATGCAGAAAGCAATAAAACCCTTTCCTTTTGCATTCCTCTAAAGCGCACAGTTTCCAGACTGGTGTTGCATGCAGATGAAGGACCCTGGAGTCGGGGTCATTCCAGAAAAGGGCTTTGGAGCTGGGGTCTGCCCCTGGACTTGTAGGGGACTTGCCCAGCCGCTCTATAGCATTTTTCGGATGCAAGCCCTATACAGTCATGAAGGATTATAAACAAGAACTTTCTACAAGACACTTAACAGAGAAATCAATCGTAGTTACTGATTAAAAGAGACGACAACATTCTGATTTCATGTACAGTACAGTGGCAAAGTGATTTTATACAGTACTTGCAGGGACTTCGGCTTAAATTTGAGGGTATTTATTGCTTGTACAGTTGTGTGGAAAATTGACAAGTAGAAGCACAGATGGCTTTCCCTTAAGATCAGGCATCACATGCCACAAATTATCTGGGAAATTGTCATTTTAAAAATAACTCTGGAACAAGTGCCAAGCTGAGAGGGATATCAGTGTCTAATAAACAGATATAAACACAGCAGTGCCCAAAACTAAAATATCCTTGAATTAAACTCTGTGGAGAGAGAGCATATACAATTAGCACCTATTCTCTAGCACCACAAATGAAAGCTTTTCATACTGTATTTCTTCTGCCTCTTTCTCACCAGAAAATTCATATGGGGTTGGGGTTTTTTTGTGCATATTTAAACCACTGTGGAGTTCACAGCTTCAATGGTTGTGTTAGATTCTTATGTTACAGCTCCTAGAAAAATATCAGACCAGAAGAACCTTAAGCACATTTATAGGCAGGAAATTTCTTTTTAACTATTCTTCAGGGTGGTGACATGTTTACACCCTGATGTGTCTGAGCTCCAGCATAGCCATCGCTCCTATTGTCTTCTCCAGCAACCACACGTGCTTCACACCTTGGGAAGGTGGGATCCTGGATCCTGCCAAAACACGTGGGGAAAATAATATCCTGCATCTCACAGCCGTGGCTGCTTGCTCGAAACAGAGCATTTGTTAGACTGGGGCAGCCCTATGCTCTCTGCTGCTGTGCAGAGATAAGGGGGGAGTGGATTTAGTTTGCTTATCACTTGCTGTCTTCCTCAAGGGGTGAAGGCCACCATGTGTGAGTGAGGAGAGCCAGGGCCCTGGGGGCTGCCCCCCATCCCCCACCAGCTGTCACCTGTCCCAGCCTGTCCTCCTCTCACGCGCTTATATGGGCACGGCAGGATGGCATCTCGTGACGCTGCGCTGCTAAAAACAGCCCCTGCTCCCTTCGGCCCCGCGTTTGAACAATGTCCTCCAGCCACAGCAACCCAGAGAGCCTCTGATCGCAGTGCAGCCTTGGACTTATTTCAAGGGAAATTAACCTGGAAACCCCTCCGTGAGGCTGTAATCCTAAGCGTATGCCCCTGGGAAAGGTAGGGATGAGCACCGCCCTGAACTACAAGTCCTTCTCCAAAGAGCAGGAAACCATGGATAACCTGGAGAAACAGCTGATTTGCCCCATCTGCTTGGAGATGTTCACCAAGCCTGTGGTCATCCTGCCCTGCCAGCACAACCTCTGTCGGAAGTGCGCCAGCGACATCTTCCAGGTAGGATTCTTCCCAAAGAGAGCCCTGCTTCCCAGGCAGCACTGGCTGAAATGAATGGAAAAGCAGTTTTTTTACGTGGTGTGCCTGATTGCTTTCAACTGTGGGTAAGGCAGGAAGGGGGGTGACTTAAAACTGAAGCTGTGTGTCCCCGGGGGCCAGGGCTGAGCTCACAGCAGACTGAAGTGACACCTGTTAGCTGCAGGGACATGGCCACGTGTGTGAGCTGAGGAGCTCACCCCTCGCAGTCACTGGGTGCTTTGCTGAGGGTGGGTTGTGGGAGCTACCCTCTCCTTGGGCTCATTGACAAACGGTTTCCTACAAGTGTGGTTTTGCCCCAGTGCTTTTGAAAGGGGTTTTTATGGTTTTGCATGGCCTTACCCACCTCTCCTTGTGCTTCTTGGCAAGAGCAGGCCTCCAACCCCTACCTGCCGACCAGAGGAGGCACAACTGTGGCGTCGGGAGGCCGCTTCCGCTGTCCGTCATGCAGGCACGAGGTGGTCCTTGACCGGCATGGTGTCTACGGGCTGCAGAGGAACCTGCTGGTGGAGAACATCATCGACATCTACAAGCAGGAGTCCACAAGGTAACTTCCACAAGGTGAATGTGTGCCCTTTGGAGGAGGTTTGTTACGAAATCAGACAGGGCTCAGGAGGCTGGTGGCCTTTGGTGTCTTCATTTGGTACACATGAGGTCTCTTGGAAATACAGATAGGGATCGTGCTGCCATGCATGCCTGTCTGTTTGCTGTACAATGAAGTCAGCTCTGACTGAGCACAGAAAACCTTATCTGAATAGATGCTGATTTTCCCTGCTTCCATTTACATCAGAGGACTGTGCTGTGCTTATTCACATGAACAGCACTTAACTCATTCAGGCAAAGCCCTTGAGGTCAGAGTGGCTCCATGAATAAGGGAAAAGCAGCTAGGTTCACATCATTTATTTTTAAAACAGTTCAGATTACTCTCATATGTCTTTAACCTGGGTGTTCTCATGCTAGAGAAGGGAAAGAAATTTTAAGTCTTGTTTGAACATCCTGAGGGACAGACAGTGCAAACAAGAAGAAAACTGAATTTCACATAGAAGATACCCTGCATCACAATGTCAAATCAAAACTCAATAAAAAAAATCATCATTCCTGACAGCTTGGGATGCAAACTCATGAAATCAAGCCTTATTTAAGACTCCATAAAAGAGGAAGAATACCCAGAAATAATACGTATCAGTGCTGTGTGGCTGTGCACAAGAGTCAAGGCCTCAGGGTGGAGGAATGGGTTTGTCTTAAAAAGTAAGATTACTCCTGAATGTTAATTTCCTGCATTGGATGTGTAATGGATCCAGCAGTAGAAAAATGTTGCATTCACATCTTTATTTCACTGGGATGGGTCAGACTCGTGGTATTGCTATGGGAAACTTAGTAGGGGGAAAGCTAAGCCTGCCCTTTTGCCACCAGCATGGATCCACAGGGCCAGTTTTATATGGCAAGGTGGTTTGTACACCTGAAGGAGAGTGTAATCCTGGCTGTGCTCCCTGACAGTCTTCCCATCCCACCCCAACAAGGAGCTGGGTTTTGCAGGGACAATGAGGTGTTACCACTGCAGCAGGTGGACACAGCCATTGGAGCTCAGAGCCTGAGGTGGCTTAGGGCACTTCTCACCTTCTCTGGCAGAGGAGGACAGTCACCAAAAGAGAGAACATTTCCAAAGGTGGCTTTGGCTTTTCTTGGCTGTTCAAATGCTTTGGGGACTGTTGTAGCTAGGCATAGGTTGGGCTCCAAAGTGTCAGAGACCATGAAGCTGGCTTAAAATTGTCCTTTTTGCTGCTCGTCACTGTCAGTGCCAAGGGAAATTCAGCTACCCCTGTGTGTATCATATTTTAGTCAGGAAAATCTCGGAGGAAATGAATCAGCAAAGCTATGGTGGTAGACTTTGCTTTTATGACCACATCAGCTAGACATCTGTGGCTTCACGTCTTTCTTGGGGTTTGGGGTTTTATTTTTTCAGCTCACAGCTGTATTTAACTTAAAATATAAATGCTGCTCCTTTTCCCATGTAGTTCATGGGAATTGGAACAAAATTCAGTTAAATACAAATGTAAGAGTTTTGGGTAGAAGTTTTTTTTTAATTCTACAGAAGTAAACCACATGATCATGCAGAATGAACATATATTTGCTGAGATATTTGTCCAAAAGGCTAATTTATTCAGTCTGTTGAGGTGCTTATTTAACCTTCATATATGTCCTTAGAATGTGAGTTAGCGTCAGGGTTACGTAGGAGCGACAATGCATAGCAGCATTATCTAAACTATTTGGCACTTAGTAGGCCTCAGCTGCTTATCTCCCTCTGCCTAAAATTTCTCAAGCTCCTATGAGAATGTGAGCAAGATCTGCCATGCTGCTCCACTGAAACAAAAAAGCAAGGGGAATCAAGTCTTCTCCACTTCCTCCTTCCTCTTCCTAACTGAAGGGCTGAGGTCTGGCAGAGGTACGTAAGAGGAAGAGTGAGATGTGACCTTTGCCTCCTTGTTTCTTCCCAAGACAGCCCTTCAAACCGGCAGCATCTGTGATTTGCACAGGGCCTCTTTCCCTTCAGTCCTCCTGTGGGTGTAATACACCATAACTGTGTCTGCCAGAATGATGCCAGCTCCCAGCTGCATTTCACATGGACTTAGGAGGCTGATGAATAATTCATCTAGGGAGCAAGCTTTATCTCCTGCTTAGGCAAAACCAATTTGTTTTAAAAATATTTTTGTAAATTTCAGCTTCTATTTGAATTATGGAATTAGGGCTTTTTAGAAGCTGGGGCAGCAGCTGAACTACAAGTTGGGAGGGTCTGCCCAAACTCTCACAGGCAGCCCCTCCTATTACTAAAGATCACATCATGTCTTTTACACCACTGCTCATCAAATTCCAGCTGATGGCAGTGTAACCTGTTGCCCAATTCAGAATTTATTAGCAGCACAGGGAAGAAATCCTCAAGCAGGATGTGTCTTCTACAAAGTTTTAGAGAGCAGCAAAAGACTGACCCAGTTGAAATAAAGTTGGCTAAAATATTAAACCAATCTTTGAAAGTCTGTAGGCCACTGATTACCTGGACTACCTGAGGACCACCAGGATTCCTGCTGCCACAAGGAAAAGGTAGCAACAAGAGGCTGTGACTTCTTGCAAGCTCTGGCAGCCTCTAACAAACTTGGCTGGCTATCCCCAATCAAAAGGTGCTTTGCGCATTGTTAACAGCTGAATCCTGATCAGGGAACGTCAAGCCTTGCGCCTACCAGGGAGAGTCTTAGGTACAGGCTGTCCCTGCAGCCCTCAGCACAGATGGAGAAGTGTGCACAGGAGGGACTAGGCCCTGTGCTGAGAGCAGCATGTATGGGCTCTGCGACGGTGGTGATGTGCTGCAGGATGGGGAAGCCACCACTGCCAGGAGCAGCTATCCCTGACACCTCAGAGGCCTCAGCCAGAGCTCCCATGGCTCTCTAGGACTTGCTGCAGGGATGCCAGGGGATCTCAGATGGGCTGGGTCAGGGAGATGAGCTCCCTGCCCACAGGTTGCCAAACAAGGGAGCTGCAGGAGAACCCCCACAGATTGTGCAGTGAAAGACATGAGGAGAGAGATCACCTGGATCTTCTCTACCCCCCCATTACCCATCCCTCCATTGTCTCCATCTCCATGTCCCACATGGAGGCAAAGCCCCAGGCACACCTGGTTTCTTGGGCCAGGCACTTATGATAGTTCTAGTGTAACGGAGCTGCAGGAATCCCTATGTCCATATGAACTTTCATAGTCTTCTAATTTTTCAAGCCCCATTTCTACCCTGGCTATTGATAGGCTTTTCACTGCTTTTGGGAGAGCCTATAATTGTGATTGATTTTCAAGGATCGTATTCTCCAAACTTAAGAATGGTCTATCCCCATATACTCAAGTAACAGTGGCAGAATATCTGCATTGATTAACAGGGAGCTCCTGATAAAACACTAGAAAAGAAGCAAAACCAAGGCTGAGAGATGTCTCAGGGGATACACTGTCCAATCACGTACAGATGGACTCAGGAGGGACATGGAAGCTAACAAGAAGAGCTTCTACAGGTGCATCAGCAGCAATAGGAAGATTAGAGAAAGTGTGGGTCCACTGCTAGAATGGAGCAGTGTCTTCTGTGGCAAAGAACATAGAAAAGGCCAAGGTACTCAATGCCTCCTTCATCTCAGTCTTTACTGGTAAAATCAGTCTTCAGTAATACTAGGCTCCTGAGACCGGTGGGAAAGACTAGAGTGAGGAAGGCTTACCCTCGGAGGAGTGGGATCAGGTTAGTGAAAAAAAAATGGACACCCTGGTGATATACACCCACGAGTGGTGAAGGAACTGGCTGATGGCATTGCAAGACCATTCTCAATAATCTTTGAAAGATCATGGTAATCAGGAGAGGTTCCTGAGGACTGGATTGGAAGAAAGCAAATGTTACTCGAATCTTCAAGGAGGAGAATGCAGGGAAGTACAGGCTGGTCATCCTCATACTGTTTCCTTGAAAGCTGTTGAAGCAAACCCTCCTGGAAACTATTTTCAAACATATGAAAGATGAAAAGGTGATTAGAAATAGTGTGCATGGATTTATGAAGGGAAAATTATCCTGACTATCTGATAGCCTTTTATAGTGAGACAGCTAACCCCGTGAATGAGAGGAGAGCAGTGGAAGTTGTTTATCTAAACTTTCAACAATGTCTCCTGTAACATCTTTGTTGACAAACTGCTGAAAAAAGGTCTATAGTGGACAGTGGACTGAAAACTGGTTGAACTGCCAGACTCAAAGGGTAATGGTGAGCAATATGAAGTCAGGTGGAGGTCGGTCATTAATGGTGTATGCCCGAGATTGATACTGAGGCTAATACAGTGTAATGTCTTCACTAATGACCTGACGCTGCCTCATAGAGACATGCAGATTCTCTCTCCGTTCCCTGACCAGGTGCAGGCAGTAGGTGATGCAGCGGCACAGGAAGGGCTAAGTTGCATTCAGGATTTCAGTAGACACCTTCTTGGATTTGTAAAAATCCTAAGGAAAACATGCTTTCTAACAAAACAGCAGTTTTCCTATGGTCTTACTATGTCTTTAATTAAATTGTGCTCCTTTACTTGCATAGCAACTTTGCATTTCCTCACCAAATCACAGAACCAGAGAACATCTGAGACTGTACAGCACCTCTAGACATCATCTGGTCCACCCACCCTGCTCAAGTAGGGCCACTCAGAGCCAGTTGCCTAGGACCATGTCCAGGTGGTTTTTAAAGACTTCCATGGATGGAGACTCCACCACCTCTCTGGGCAACCTGTGCCAGTGCTTGGTCACCCTCACAGTGAAAAAGTGTTTCCTGAAGTTCAGAGAGAACCTCCAGTTCTTCAGTTTATGCCCATTGCCTCTGGTCCTAGCACTGGGCACCACTGAAAAGAACCTGGCTCAATCGTCATTACATCCTCTGTTCAGGTATTCGGATACTTGAAGATATTGGTAAGATCAAGGTCATTGGTAAGATCCCCCTGAACATTCCCTTATCCAGGTTGCCAGTCCCAAGCCACAACCTCTACTCACAGGAGAGATGCTCTACACCTTTAATCATCTTCAGAGTCCCTTGCTGGGCTCTCTCCAGTATGTCCATGTCTCTTATGCACTGGGGAGCCCAGAACTGGACACAGTGTTCCAGGTGTGGCCTTACCAGTGCTGAGAATCCTCCTCTCCATAAAGCACACACAACACTCCACATGTTAGGATCCAAACCCAATTTTAATGGAAAAAAATAAACCTCTAACAGTCAAACACAGGCTAAGTAATTCAAAGAGCAGAGTCAGAGAAGCAGAGCACAAAGCTATTAGGCTATTTCAGCAACCTGCCGCTTCTTTGGTCACAGGCACAACTGCGATTAATCTTTTCTTTTACTACAGCCATGCTGTTTCTTTAATCAGCTACTGTTTAGTAGCCTGTTTCAGGAGCAGCCACCATTTTAAACATCGAGATTGTGTTTTGGCCTTTGCCACACCAATATAGACCTAGAGGATTCTCTCTGAAGTTAGGGAATGTTGTGCTAAAAATCATTCCTTTTGTGCAGCCTGGGAAGGAGGCTGTAGTTCTGTTTACTTCTACTCTTGTGTCGGTATCTTTAGGGCACCACTAGTTCAGGGAGTTCTGCCAGGTTTCTCCCAGCTCTTCGCTGCACCTTTGAAGGTTGGTTACTTCTGGCTGAACTCGCTTGACACTGTCTCCTTTTTGCCATGTGCGATGTGTCTTTCATGTTAGTGGCATCATTCCAGTGTCAAGTAACCTTCTAGTAGTTTCTCTTTCTGGTCTTATAAATATTTGCAGGAAGAGCAGCTATTTCAGGCTTAATTAATCACTTTTTGAAATTCATTGTCTGTTAGTGCCATCACATGCAGGCCCTCCTGCTGGTGTGCTATAACATGAATATATTAGGGGCTGTTTGCAGTCACCTGCGAACAGTGTAAAGTGTTTTTACGGGGGAAACACACACCTTTTGAATAGCATTAAACTGATGCTGGATTTGACACACTGAGTGCCTTATGTAAATATACGCTAGAAATCTGACCCAAATAATACAGGCTTCCTTCAGAAGTTTCTGTGTTGTTTTATTCTGGTATAACATGTTATACTGAAGATTACAAACTTTCCATATGAATCCTTTAAATTCCAGCGCCTTCTTTAAATTAAATAATACGAATGCATGAGACTTCTTTGTTGCTTGATGTTTTTTTAAAGGCATCTAGTGGATCATATTAATTCCATTCCCTTAAGAAGAGAAAACCTGTACTTTGTCATTAAAAAATAAATGCCGTATCCATTTTACCAAAGTGTATGGAAAAATTCTACTGTAGTTTAATCTAAAATAGTGATTTTCCCATACATTTTTTTTCAGTTGAACAGAATGGCTGGTTGCCACTTTGCCAGAGCTCTGTAAAACGGCTTTTTTTTTTTTTTTTTTTTGCATGTAATTCCATTAAATTCTATAGTTTTGGAAAATATTTTGTATCTGAAGATGAAAAGATGTGTCTGTGTGATACCATTCTCCACTTGCTACAGGTAAATCATAGTTCTCCTTCCAAATGGCAGCAGAAGGGGATAATAGCTTATGTTGGAAATATTTAATGTTGCTGCCGTAGGAGTGGCAATCTTTGAAGGCTTGAACCTCCAGACGCACTCCTTCCATCAAGCTACTGACCCTGTCCTCTGGTACCACATCTTCACATACTCATGTGCTTGCTGCAGATGTGTTCAGGGTGTTAAGCCCAAAGCATGGGCTCAGAAAACCATCAACCTGCCCATGCAGACTAGAACAGAGCATTCACTTACATGGGGAACATCAGTTAAGTGGCTCATTTAAAGGAAGCTACAACTAAATTAGTTCCTAAAATAGCAGGAATTGTGTGTATATGGAGAAATAATTTTGCTGAAGAGATCAGGACTGAGCTCTAGTCTGGTGACAGTTCCTGGCTTAGCACAGGAGGGGAATGCTCCCTGTGTAACCCATGTATTTTGAGATGGGTACAATTGAGTTACCTACTGTTTAAAAGTTCAACATCGTATAAGCTAGACACATGCCACCCAGGTAAAATTAATTTGTGTCAGACCTTATTTGGTTGCTGGCCTAGCGTAAAGACCATAAGGACCCAGTCCTGTTTGATACAGTCCTGACCTGAGCCTTGCAATGCTCATCAGCAGAGACATAGAGTTAAGGGCATAAAGGTCCATCAATACCTAACTTGATTCAATTATTCCCTTGCATAAGAGCTTTTCTATTTTAAGGCTAAGTGCCCAACATTTCGTATGATGAACCTGAGAGAAATTACATATGCTTTGTATTTCAGATAGGTGTTAGATAACATGCTAATTAAAGTATATGAGTAGTCTGAGATCACTCTTGGTGAGGTTGTTTACATTTTAAAATATGAGTGAGGGTTCAGTCACACTCCCAGCTGGCATTCCCATATGAAATCATGTTGCTATATTGTCATCACATCCTGTTGTGTCAGGACATTAATCTGTCCCACTGTCTATTTAGTCATCCCATGTGGCAGGTTCAAGTCTACACTGCATATTCAGGTTAGCCTTGGACACTGCTATATATCATATTGCATGCTGATACTGTAAGTGTTGTCATCAAAAACTCATGAGCACCAAGTTTGTTTTAATTTTGTATTCTTTTGCAGACCTGAAAGGAAGTGTGACCAGCCAATGTGCGAAGAGCATGAAGATGAGAGAATTAATATCTATTGTTTGAACTGTGAAATACCCACCTGCTCCTTGTGCAAAGTCTTTGGTGCCCACAAAGACTGTGAAGTTGCTCCTCTCACAAATGTTTATCAGCAACAGAAGGTAAATACCTTTTTGTATGTCATAGTCAACTGACAGGACCATCAATAGGGATTCCTGTGAGTTTCCAAAGGGGTCTTTGCTATTCCTGTGTGTGAGTGAAAGGCTCACACAAATCTGTTAGAACTGTTTAGAAACACAGGAAAATAAATTTATGAGAGATCACACAGAAATATATTAGAGTGTCCCAATTTTTATTAGTATAGTGAATAAACATTTTAGACAGCAGTTTGATGTGAAGCTGAGGATCTCTCACACAAGGTTCCTAGTCTCTTTTTTTAGAGCTTTTGGATCAGAAAAACGAGTGGGATTTACAATACATGAACTGGAAAGAGAACAGACCATTACAAGCCAAGTAGTTATCTATCAGGCACTTCTGCCTTTAAGCATCCAATTTTTAAGAAAAGTTAAGTGGAAAACCTCCTTCTGCAAGTGAATGCAGGAATATTCAATAGTTGGCAGCGCAGGATGTACCTAACATCCTCTGCCCTTGCTGTCAGTAGAAGACTTGTTTATTTTTAATACAGTATTAATTTAAAACCTGACTCACTGGGTTATCCTCCTGAGATAAACAGCTCATTTTTCTGGAGGGTCCCAGTGGGGCAAGCAATCAGACAGACCAAGTTTGCAATCCCAGCCTCCAACTTTGTCACACAGATACTTGTGTGTGGAAACTATAAATGAGAAGTTGCTTTAGGAAAGTAGCTACAAACGTCCTTTTCAATCAAAAAAAGGAGGGAGAAGGGGGAGAAGTTTCTTGGACTGAATCCATGCATTCAGTCACTCCCTTTGCATGGAGATTTGCAAGGCGTGGTTTCCTTCCCAGAGTGCCTGTGGAAAGGAGGTGCCCAAGACTGGAGGTGTAACCTGGAGGCTGCAGAATGTGTGCCTCGAAGGATCATTTATAAATCTGTGGAGGCCATGGACATGGTTGCTTCTGTCACAGCAGACTGCCAAGAGTCCTTTACCCTCCCCAGCACCCTCAGCAGGTTCCCTAAAGACCAGTTTTTCTGCTTCTCCTCTTCTAAGGATACCTCATAGTCATCACCATCCCCACATTCTGGCCATTTCTTACTTCCACCGGTTTCCCTCATGCCAGTGGATCAGCAGCCTCCACTTTTGCCTCCTCCTTTCCTCTCTTCCCCGCTCACAACAGCCCCAGCTCTGCTGCCTTCATGCCAGGGGCTCTGTAGCGCCCTGGTCCTTTCCAGGTCAGTGGGCTACCTCTTCTCAAGTGGCAAGAGCTGCAGGCCTCAGGGAATAGCACAGTAGCATGGCTAGACCCAGACACTAAAAAGAACCAACCTGTCAAGAGACAAAGCCTTTTCTCTCAACAAACCCAAATGGAATATTTTGGGGCTGTTGCAAAAGTGCTTCAGACAAAAACATCTGGAAGAGCTTCCTAGAACAAAGTGCTTCCTCCTTTCAAAACCACTGTTTCTTCTCCATTAAAATTTTCAAAATGTCAATGTTTTCATAGTTTTTTTAAGAGAGGAAACTAGATAAATCTAATATCCTGGTATGGCCCATTCATCTCTTGCTCCTAACAATTAGATGTGCCACCTTGAAATGGGACAGTGTGTAACACCTCTTGCTTGTTCTCCCCTTACTTCCTAGTCTGAGCTGAGTGATGGCATTGCAGTCCTTGTGGGGAGCAATGACAGAATGCAAGGGATAGTCACGCAGCTGGAGGAGACCTGCAAGACAGTTGAGGTAGGTACCACCCCTTTAAATGCAGTTATTTCAATAAGTCACATCTTTTAAACTGCTGGTAACAATCATTCTTTAACGGACCTCACTTTATGCAAATGCATTCCCACAACCTTTTACTAAACCATTACCTAAGACTTTGTACATTATCAGCCGTACTGCCTCAACCAAAGGATGCATCCTGCTGGGCCCCCTGCCTCTGACATCAGCCATGTGATGAAGGAGAAAGAATAAGAATAATCCATATCAGCACATCTTGCTCAGCATTCTCAGTGGCAGAAGATATCACTGAAGTTAAAAGCAGATCCAATGAAATTCCATCAACTCCCATCTCATTTAACATCTAAGATCAGGTTCTAGAGCTGTAGAAGTCTAAAGCCTGACTGGTCCTGTGAACAGAGCCTTAGTCTAAGCCACAGCATAACCTGTGTAGCATGGCACGCAAGTGTGTCAGTGAGCTCTGTATTTGGTTGATCTGCTTTCTGCACAGAAGCGCGTTTTAATACAGTTACGTTGTCATTTAAGGAGTCTTGTTTTGTTGCTTGTGGGAGAGAAGACTTTGGGTTCTTACTGGATTTTCTGGTAAAGGTTTTACTCTGATAGAGCTGGAATTAGTTTTGTGTCATTCAGTAGCAGAAGTGGCTCTCATTTTCTCCAAGAGTTTTGTACCAGCAAAAGCAAAGGCTGAAAGGAGCTCATATGGATTGATTTTGTGATAAGAGTTTGATGAAGCATCTACTGAAGGAGTTGCATCCCTCTCAGCCCAATTAGAATTATATTGACCTTTTAGAGCTGGAGCAGAAAAGAGAAATAGCAGAGAAAAATAAGTTCATCCAAGATGTATTAGACTCTAATTGGTAAGAGGAATTATTCCACAGTCTATGTACACAACTGGCCAAGGCTCCTATTTCCTTAGAGCAAGGAAGGACAGAAAATGTTCAAGTTTGGTTCAAGGAACATAAAATCATTAACCCAAGTAAAGGAGAGTGGATGTTAGCAGCTGCCAGAACTTTGTAGTCAGGAAGGATGAAATCACAAGGAAGGAAATGGCTGCTATCAGGACTTTGCAGACAGAAACACGCTTTTCAAGTAGGTTAGCTGCAGAAATTTGAATGATATAAAAGCAAAACCTTATGCTCATTTAAGTTGAATTAGCTGAACCAGAAACAGAACTTCAAATATCTAGTCTGAAGTATGGAGAAAACTCTATGCTGAAAATACCTTAACAATACAAGAGTTTCTGAGAATAGCTTCCTCAGAGTCATCCACTCAATTTAAAGTCTAACCTTTAAACTCAAAACCGAAAGAAAGTGCAGCCATTTTGCCTTCAGATGTTTAAACAGGCTTTTCACCTTTAAAGTCAAAAATCGCAGAAAATAGATCTTAGAGCTTACCTTGGCACTTCCTTGTTACATTTCAAGCAAATCACATTTCCTACCACACAAAAGCTTTGTCTGAATTGACATCAGTTTGTTCTTGAAGATGAAAAGCTACAGCTGGAGCTAAGAAATGTGCACACATGGAAATAATGCTTATAATCCACGGTTGTCTCTTCTCTCTGCTTAACACTTTGCAAAGAACAGTAAATATCTGCTTTAGGAGAAGATACATGATCACTTTCCTTTTAGCTGGAGTAGGTTCAGTAGCAGTAGTCTACAGTTCCATATTTAGTTATTGCTTCAACCCTAAAAAACACATATTACACTGAAAATAAAAAAGGAATATAAAATGCTAGATAGTGGAAAACAATTATAAATAATTAAGTACTGTTTAGCCCTGTAAACAATATGAGTCAAATAATGAAAAATTACTGTGTTTCAGTCAAATACTAGTAACATAGGCCAGTCAATACAGATAACTTCAGAACAAGCAGTGTGACTCATGCTCAGTGGCACAGACTTTTATTTTTGCTGTAGCCATGCTATAAGAAACAAAAAGGCTGAGAACATTACAGAATGGAAAGTCATGTGTTTCTTAACCTTTTTCATTACACAGAATCTGATTAGGATACTTCCATGAGGCAGAGACTTCATATGGGAACATTTTATGCAGAAAGAGAATATTTCAGAAATATTTCAGCATTTGCAGTTAGGAACCTGTTTTACACTCTTGAGGTTCACAGCTCTGTAATATGTACTGGCAGGAAATAATGTTAAGAGTTAAGGAAGGATCTCTCAGGACACCCTGCTATCACTCTCTTGTTCTCCTCCTACCTCTTGTCCTGTGTCAGATGGCAAAGATAGCACATACCTGTCTTGAAATTAAGGTTGTTTTACAAGGGATCTGAATGACATTTCTGAGGAGGTCATTGTAGACTAAACTGAAGAGGAATCTGGAGCAAGCAAAAGTGCAGGAAACATGGGGAGAAAGCTAGGAGAGGCGTGAAAGGGAAGAGGAAGATTATTTGAGGTCTGAAGAACAGAATGACACCCAGGAACTGTGACTCACATGGTTTGAAAAATTCCTTATCCCCACCCCTTAATTCACTAATCAGGAATCTCTGGGAAGTGGCAAGGACCTCCAGAAGGTCAGGACAAGCCTGCCCCCCTGCAGGGAGTTTTAAATTACAAGTGCCTGTTTAGCCTAGTCTTCCTCATTAGAAAGCAGAGGTGGATACTTGGGTCAATGCAACAAGATCTATATTTGCTTCCCACCCCTCAATGCAGACTATGATTTTTGGCCACACGTCCAGCTTCATAAGGCTTTCTTCTCTTGAATGATACAGAGCAGACTGTCACCACTTGTAGGAAAGAGCTCTGGCTGACAGTCAAGAGAAAAAGTGGGATTCTCTCTGGCCAAGTGCTATGAATAATCAGCCTTATCACTTCCAAAGGTACTGTTGGACTGTTAATAATTCTGTGCTGCCAGGATCTCAGCATTACGCCTCAAGGGAAGAAGATGAGGAATTGATTCAGCCTCAGTTCCTGGGAAAGATTTTTAAATAACCACCACCAACCAGAACCAGATATAACCACAATAAGGTTATGCCCCAGGGCACACAGATGACTCAAGTTCTTCTGTTCGGTAGACCTCAGACATTATAGATAATCTGTCTCCTGTTTCCTCCCCATAAATCCTCCCTTGCAAATGCAGTGTGTTCTTGTTAGAGAGCTCTCAATGAAGCAGTCATCAAACCCATCCTCCTTACTCAGTGAAATATGCTATGTAGTCTGATTGGAAGGACAATAAAAGTGTCTCGAAAAATGATGGGAAAATAAGTGCCTGGAGGTAGGGTTGGAACCTGAAACCTTCTTCTTGTCTTTGTGCTTCTGTCACACGCTTTTTCCTTTGTGGTACCGCTTCCTCATTCAGTGCACAGTAAATGGAATATAATGGACACCTATTGTCAAAATAGAGTCTGAGTGGGTGTATGTGAAAATCAAGGCCAGCCAGGACAGTTCTAGGTTCTCTGGTAGAAAAATATAATTCTCCAGAGCTGATATGAAACAGTCCTTCCTCTAAAAAATCATTCTGTCCATGCAAATGAATCCAGCTGCTACTAAAGTGGGGGTTTTTACTTTTTCTGCAGACTTTGATGTGTCACTGCAGATATCATAAATACCTTTTACAGATTTTTAGCAGGCTGACATGTTATACAATAACTGGTTTGGGGGCTTTCAGTGTCTCAAAAATCAAGAGTCTGAGAATGGTTTTAAAACTTTAGTTCCAATAGCTTGGGCTTTGAAAATTATAAAAGTCTCTGGGGTCATTCAGAATCCTTTACACTACTCAGAAAGAGGAATCTCTTTGATGAAAATGCTTCCAAGTAACTGTAAAAATAGAAACTCTTTTAAGAACATAACATGTTTAACATAAACCAAATGATTTGCAGGAATGCTGCAGACGACAGAAAGAGCAGCTGTGTGAAAAATTTGATTATCTCTATTCTGTACTGGAAGAAAGAAAAAATGAGATGACACAAATAATCACTAGAACCCAAGAGCAGAAACTGGAACATGTCCGCTCCCTGATGAAGAAGTATGCAGATCATTTGGAAGCTGTGTCAAAGCTGGTTGAATCAGGAATCCAGTTCATGGAAGAACCAGAAATGGCTGTATTTTTGCAGGTATAAAATCAATAAATGCAGACAGAAGAAGAATTATGGGTTTATTGAAATACTATTTAAGCCTTTCTCGATTTTAGGCACATTCAGAGTTCAAGTGAACTTTTACACAAACTCATTTTTTAAAGTTGCATCAGCACAGGCAAATGCCTACTCTTCTTGTGAAAAGTATCCAAACCAAGAACACGAGTGTTTGATATGTGCACCAAAATATACTATTCTGGGTATGAATTTCTTATCCCCAAAGAAGAAACAGGAATTTTAACATTTTCCAACATACCTGTATTGTCCCACTGTTATAATATGCATGCAGTTGAACTTCTGTGAGTTACAGGTTTTGTTTGTGTATTGACAGAGCGATTAACTTTCCAAGAATTAAATATTTATTTTTCAAGTCACTTTTTAATGACTTATTTTTTTCCTACAATTTCTCTACATTAAAGGCAATTTTCTTTCCAGACAAAGAGGCTCCAGAAGTATGGCCTTACGGATGGCCAAAGATAGTTACTGTGAGTGAAGATGTAACACAGCAATTGCTTTTCACCACAAACACACAAAAAAGAAGAGCAAAAATATTTCCATTTCATTTTTGTAGAAATTGCACATATTTCCCATCATATTTGGATTTTACTTAAAAAGTCTTCAATGGACTAAAAGGTTTACTCAGCTATATACTAATTACCATGTAAATCTGATCTCATTCATAGATCTGTCATGGTTGTCATTTATGAGATCCATATTAGCATGTTTAGAAGCAGCCACTGTAAGAATAATATCTCAATGCATAAAATCTCTGAAAAAAAATGAACCATTTAAGAAGTCAGTTATTTCCTTTTTGTTTTCACAGAATGCCAAAACATTGCTACAAAAGTAAGTACCTGAACTTGAGACTCTTGATCATTATATTGAATCATAAATTGTAAATTTATCTGCAAATCTAAATGCCAATAACTAATTTCTGTGTTTTAGAATTACTGAAGCATCTAAAGGATTTCAGATGGAAAAAATAGAGGATGGATATGAAAATATGAACCAATTCACAGTGAACCTCAGTAGAGAAGAAAAGATAATACGAGAAATTGATTTTGACAGAGGTATGTCATTTATTTCACCTAAATTGCATTCTTAAATTGCAGCTCTGTGTGATTTACATTGATACTGAGTAGCAAAACTTGAATCAGGTATTTCTGTCCATCCTAAAGTATAACTAGACCATTTTGTATCAATTATAATCAATCACAAGAATCCATCACAGTTGAAAAAAATCACATAACATGTTGACACCATGAATCTTACCTTTTATGTATCCTCAACACTTTCCTAAGCCTGAGATCTTTACTGATTCCTCATGTGAAGGGACCACAAAATTAAGCTTTTACCTCATTCTCTAAAGTCCTTTATTTTTCCCTAAAAGATGCCATTATTGTGTGGCCTGTCTGCTCTAGAAAGGCATTAAAGAAGTAGAATGTTTATTACTAAAGGAAGTACTTACAAAAGGTACTTTGTTTTACTCTTTTTTGATAATAATTGAGAAATATAACAGAAACATAACATTCATAGAATCATAGAATAGTTAGGGTTGGAAAGGACCTTAAGATCATCAAGTTCCAACCCCTCCTGCCATGGGCAGGGACATCTCGCTCTAAACCATATCACCCAAGGCCTTGTCCAGCCTGGCCTTGAACACTGCCAGGGATGGAGCATTCACAACCTCCCTGGGCAACCCATTCCAGTGCCTCACCACCCTAACAGGAAAGAATTTCCTCCTTATATCCAATCTAAAAATTGTCATAATCTTTCATGCATTTAGCATCTTGTGTCATGTCATTTGTCATGACATCATGACTAAACATGCTTAATATATCTATATAATAAGCACAAAGTTGTAATTTTATGTTTACCAAGGTAGCCTGAAATCTAGGCTCACCTATGCTTTACCTTACATAGTAACCCTAAGAAGTTAATGGAGACAAATGTTTCAAATAAGCATATCTCTCCTATTAAAGGCAGCTGTAACAGTTGTCTTGATATCTTTGATTTTCTTGCTAGCACTGGATTCTGCTGGTACATTTACATTTACCTTTACCAGCCAATTAGCCTCATGCAGATACCACCCATTGCTTACTCCTCTGCCAAGTCTTACACTAACTTCAGACTGTATGGCTGCTCCCTGCAAGGGACCCTGCATGCCTGCTGTGCAGATCTTTGTATGTGGGTTGGAATCTGTTGACTAGCTATGCTTGGCACTGGGATCCGTGTAGCGGGACAGCAGCTGTGCACCAGTTAGCAGCAGAGAAGCAGGTGTCATTTCACAGGGCCATGAACCTCAAGGGATTTGCCCTGGGGGGGACAATCCCTAGTCATAGACTCATGCCCAGTTCATCCCTGTGATCAGCCACAGCTGCCACATCCCTGCGATACACGAGCATCGGCCAAGATTGTGACCTTATGCTCTGGACAGACACACACCCCCACCATGTGATAAGGAATGTGACACCCACCTCCTGGAGACAAGCCATTAGCAAGGGCTTTGGCAATTAAGAGTTCGGTCCTGTATTTGAAACTCCTACTGCAGCCAGGGGATGTGTAAGCTGAGATTCAGCACTCTGCTTACAGAAGTGTGTTTGCCTGCAGAAACATTTCATCATTATGAGGGAGTTACTCAATTCACAGATCTGCATTCCTTCTAAATATTCAGGCAGAACTATAACTTGTGCAAAATGTGCAGTTAATTTGGAGCTTGCATTAGTGCGTTCTCTGAAGTGCTAGGATGGCTCTGAACAACATCAAGTGTTTATAAGAATGAGTAATGTGATTATGCAAAAGAAAGCGCATTGTTAGAGGGCTCCCTCTGGAAACTAGCCAAGGCATGAATGCTGACAACATGATGTGTCAGATGATGCATAAATGATGGTTTGACCAAGTTTGACAGTCTGATTTTAGAAAGGTTGTTATCCCAAACAATGCTGCACATCCCTCATGAGGATAACTGCATTGACTGGACATTTTGTCCTCCTTCCCATGGAAAGGGTCAGCTCTGGATTTTAACAAGCATGTGTGTTCAGTGTCCTCCCTGTTGTGAAGTGCTCAATGGCAGATGTATGGCAGTGTCCTGTCCAGGCTGGTGGGACTAGGCTTCTCACCAGTGTTCTCTCTGGTGCCTGCATCCCCTGCCAGGCAGAAGGTTATCAGTACATCTGCCATTCAATTGTAAATGGCTTTTTAATTACATAAAGATTGTAGCCATCTTCATCTGTTGCTCATCCCTGTCCTTTTACATGGGTCCTATCAGAGGAGGAGGGAGAAGAGGAAGAGGAGGAGACGGTGGATGGTGAAGAGTTGGATGAAGTACACACAGAGTCATCAGGAGGGGAGGAGGTGGAGGAAGAGGTGGAGGAGGAAGGGGCTGAGACAGCACCACAGCCACCTCAGCAGGACCCAGAACCACAGAACACAGCAGGAGAGCCCCCAGCCGAGCCCGCTGCAGTGCCACTGCCTGCCACCCCAGCTGGTCAGGTAAGTTCCCCGGTGTCTCACTGCCCCACCAGCTGTGCTGATTGTGCCCTGGCAGAGCAAGAAAACACTTCCCTGTGCCTTGCAGTCACCATTCATCAGGAGCACGGCTAAGGGAGTCAATGCGCTGGAGAGCAGAATTGTTTATTGCCCTTGCACACATATGCACAGCTGTATGCTGTCTTCTCAACCTGTGTACATACATATTGCTTGATAGGCAAAACATTACACTGCTAAATAAGTGAGATGTATATGGGATAGATAAGATATAAACAGAAGAGATTCAGTTTGGGAACCAGGCACATTACTAATGAGTGTTCTGCTTGCTGTGGTTTAATTCAGGCTAACTATTATAAATGAAATGGTTGTTAAAATATTTTTACTAAGAGAATATGGTATTCTCTCTGGATTTAGTGAGGTTTTTTTTGCACCATTTTTTACATAATACTTCCTGTCTGTTTTCTGTGAATGACATTTGCCACCTTCTGCTTTTGTCATGCTAGGGATTTCATGTAGGAGGGTATAGGAACATCATAGACCAAACAGGAGAGGAAATGGCCTCTTACAACCTAGCAGCAAACAGATTCAGGGTGTGAATAATTTAGGCCAGCACCTATTCTTAAGGAATGCAATTAGAATGAGACCATAATTGCTGCATTTTCTAAAAGACCTACATAAAAAAAATATTATTTTGTGTGCTACTTTCGCTGGCCTTACATACAATTAATTTAGCAAATTCTCCTCTTATGCAATTTACCCGGTGAAGCTGCTGAGCAGGTAAAGTCTGCTGTGAAGATATTTGAGTAGCCCAGTGTGAAAATAATAGAGCATGTAAAGAATCTTTGTTTGTAGCAAGCTCCCCACATAAAACAAGGGAAAATAAATACTGTAGATTCATTCTTGCTGTGATTTAAAAACATACCTGAGTTAACACCAGTTGTGTGAAGATGCTCTTAAATCAGGCTTTATTGATTTAACTAAAGTTTGTCCTTTGAGATTTTGCACTGACTTAGCTAAGCTTATGTAGCCTAACTGATGTAGGGCTTTATGCAAACAAGAGCTAGACATAAGCAATTCTGCCCACTAACATGAAGTCCCTCAATTCTAAGGTTAAAATGGGAAAGGTACAGCATGCTGCCGTAGCAACTATAAAATGTCATTAGGAGATGGTCAGATGTGGAGTCAGACATGGCATGTGGGTGTTGCGGAGTGTAGGATACCTGTATTTCAGCTTTTGCCTTCTGGTGCAAGAAAGGCAAAGCAAAAATGCTGTGGTGATAGCACAAATCGTGTGGGCGAGCCCTTAGAGCTTGGTGCAGGTAGAGAGGTGCAGTTTATCCGGCTGCTCCTCTATCTGGCAGAGAAACTGTGATTGGCTTACAGCACTGATAGCAACGTTGGTGGGCAAATATTTCTCTCCAGTGTCTTTGCATTACCCTTATTCTGACTGCTCGTATCAACAGAATTGTTGGGAAATGTGTTGTTTTTAACCCCAAACCTGACAAACCATTTGTAGGTACCTACACTTGTCCACAGATGGTACTGGTTCATGAGGCTCTTATGCAGAATTTCTTTTATTTCTAGGATTGAATTGGGTGTTTATCTGAATTATCAAGGAACCACTTGCTCACTCCTTTATCAGGCAGCATCCCCTTCCCAGCTAATTCTACCTTCCAATTCTATTGTTTGGGTAACTTATTTTCTTTCCCTTATCTGTATTATTCATATGATAGTTGCTTTTGCTTTGCATTTTGATTATAATTCTGTCAGGCCATATATAAAAACATGGCATGCAGAGCGATGTGGCAATGGCAGGAAGGTAACATGGTGCACTATGCTTGTTCTTCTCTTTATCTGTCCTGATTAAGGATGAGGTTGTGACAGCCAGTGGTTCTCAACAGACCCCAGAGTCTGACACTCAAGTGCCGGCCACAGCAGAAGTCACCGATCCTTTGTTTTACCCTAGCTGGTATAAAGCTCAGTCACGGCAACCAAGCAGTCCGAGCTCAACCCCAGTGAGTGGGCTGGGGACAGTAGGGCCTCCTGTTTCTCTGGAAACAAGTGCAAAGAAGGCAGAAGCCCCAGCAACAGCAGCGATCGAGGAGAGTGCACCGGGGAGTGGTAAGGAAAGTAATTCCACTGCAGTGATGTCCAAGGTCAGTGCTACAGAAGTCACCTCGGAGGGCTGTGACGCGCAGCAAGGCGGGAACGGCATCTGCTAAGGAGAATGTGACTTAACTTTCCTCTGCATGCTAAAGAATTACAATTTCAGAAATACAAAACCAGCACAAATTGCCATTTCAGCAAATCCCCTGGATTTAGAGACGGTTTCAGTATGTGACAGGCTGACTTTTCAGCTTCAGAGTAGCATGCCAATGACTGCTTGTGCTTAACTGCCAGTGCACCTTGCTTGTGTGAGCTGTTATCCAAGTTGCTCATGCGCATGCTCAGGAGCTGTTGGAGAGGCTGAGTGATGTCTCTGTGCATCAGATGCATGTATTAGCAGCAGACAAATCTTGTGCAAGAGATTACTCCCTTCACCTGTGTAAGCCTGTGTACATCACGTGCTGTCCTACTACTGCTGGTTGAGCAGCTATGGCTTGGCTTTGCCTTGTGCAGCTCTGTGGCTGCACCTGGAGTGTATGGCTTTCCCACGTGAACACGAAGCTATGCAAATACCCGGAGCAGCCTTGTGTGCTTGATTGCCTCTCAGTAAGCAGTGTGATTTCCTAGGTTCAGATCTGTTGCTGAGGGTTTCCTCCAAGGATTCTTGGGACTTGATTAAAGGAGAGCAGGGAAATAATATATTCCAGTTCTGTGTTAGACTTTCAGCAGCATGATGGGATAACAGATACCAATGTGTTAAGTACAGGAGGGTGTTTTCCTTAAAAGTACAGTGTTAGAGTTGGTATAACTTGAATTTGAATATTCCTTTTGTATATGTGTACAAATGCCATATGGGTCAAAGATTCAAAGAACAGAACTGAGGGAGCTGTGTCTGAAGGATTTGCACAATACGCCAGCTCCAGCTCTAGTGCCTGTCTACCAGCCCATGCACAGCACTCTTTAAATCAAACCGTCCTGATTTACAGGCTAAAGCTGTATGTTGTAACAAAGCCATTACCTGTATGTGTGTGATGAGATTATGTCTGTGTGTGAAAAAGCACAAGTGGGCAGTAGGTATTTAATGTTGTTTCCTTTAAAGCTGGAGTTGACCATTTAGCATACATAAAAAGTCTTACCATGATAAACCATCACATGGTGAACAGAAAGATAGCAGGATTTCCTACAGATATGATAAAAGGGCACTTATCTTTTAGCAGTGACACTTGAATTTGCTGATGGAAGGATTCTCACCAACTCCAAACTTAACAGAAGCAACATTTGACCCCCAAATTTCAGTAATTATTTTTCAAGTCATGCTTTGATTTGAGAATATTTGAGTGGAATAAAAGAAGTAAAATTAAATTATCAAACCTGCTATGACCTTGTCTTGAGTATCCCAAGTGAGCTGGCAAAAGCAGGTAAATTCAGAGTGGAATTTATTGCTGCTGTTCCTTCCTATCAGTTCTATAGGCAGCCAAGCCTCACCATAGACAGGTAAAATCTGTATGGGGTTAGTTTCCTGGGAGCTTGCCTACCTGTGGTCTGCTTCCCTGGATCCTAATTTACCAACAGCAAGTAAGGGAGCAAAACTGATGTTTGATGTGGATAATTATCTGAAAAAAAGCAACAGTCGGGTACCCACCTCTCTTCATTGTCGGATATCAGGAATGAAAACAGGGAAAAAAGATGTCAATTCCCATTGGCATGTGAGTTTTGGGGTGTGGGTTTTCCGTATTTCCCAGGTCATGAGTGACACTGACATTCTGGGAGGAGGCGGATGTTGACAAGGGTAGTACATGGTTCTGGGGGTGCAGGGAAGAAGGAGCAAGGAATGCAGCTGAGGATGGGATTACCCCTGGACTGGAGACAGAGGAAAGGATAGGAAAACTCAAGAAGGTGAAAGGTGCAGAGTGTGCTGAAGAACAGAAAAAACCAGACTGACAAAGCTAGGAAGGGTGATGCCAGGAGATGAAGCCACAGTCAGATCTACAGGTCTGAGCTGAAATGTCTCTATGTCACAAGCAAAATGGCTGCTGTCCTGTGGCAGTGATAATTTCTAAGTATGTGAACTTCAACTGTGTTTTTTTCCTGCATGTGATTTTACACAACCCACTCTGAAACGCCATATTTGTGTATTTTTTTTTAAACTCTGGCTGATCAAACCCTGGTTCTTCACACCACTGTTTTTATTCCCTTCCTTCCATTAAAGGATGTCATAGAAAAGTGCTGTGTAAACAGAGCTTGTGATAATGACTAGTTTGTGTCATGACAACACTGGTGAAGCACTTTTCTTATTTTCTCACAGGAGTTAGCATTCTGCATATCACTTTTGGCATTTCTTATCATACTACATCATCTTTGGAATCTGATTCAATACATGATTTGTACTTTCATGGGTAGGAAATATTTCCTTTTACCATTAACTAACAGTTCAAATAGTGTCTGTGGTGATGTTCCTACATGGTTTTAAGGGACTTTTTCCCTTTATTCCCATCCAAAAACATCATGCTAGTTCACAGTACAAGCTGCCTAAAACATTTCTTCCTTCCTCCTGCCTTGGAAATGCCGCCCTTCATCTTACTCCTGCATGGTTAAATATTTCATCCCTAGTTCAAAGTGGAAAGAGACATTTACTTCCTCTGATAAATGGGCTTATATTTCAGTTGCTGTTCAGATGACCAGCAGGATAGAGAACCAGTAGGTTGACAGGAGATGTGAAAAGCCCTGAGCTTGTTCAGCCCAGCGAACTGGGGAAGATCTGGAAAGTTGTCATCAGTGGGGTAAACATCAGGAAGCAAAATCCATTGAATAATCTTGCAGCTGTGATTCCCACCATGAGCAAATCACTGGTGTTCCCACAGGGAGGTGGCTCAAGCCCTGCTCCACGGGGTCCGCATGGAGAGAATAGAGAGACTCTTCTTACAGCCCAGCCCACACATCACACCCCACATGTTGGGGACTCCTCTGCAGGTCATTTTCCCACCAATGGCATCCAAAGGTGTCTCTCCCACATTCACAATGAGCACGTAGGACCAAACATGGCTCTCAAATGCACTGACATGCAGCTGGGAGGGGATACAGCTCATCAGACACCCAAGGCTGTGTGTATTTTTAACTATCTGTGCTTAAAAAATAGGGTTTTTGTAGGCAAAAGCTTTTTTTTTTTTTTTTTCCCCATTGGCCACACTACCTAATTGCTGAAATACCTGTAAGACTAAGGACTGAGAACTTCCTTACCCAGTGAAGTTGTCCCAGATGTAAATACTGTAAAGTAAGCCTTAACTTCTTTTTGATAAATTTGTCAAAGATTTAGTTCTTCCAGCTCCAAATTCATACCCTTGGTAGGTAAGACGTGTATATTCAATTTCCAAAGTGATATGGCTGATCTGCAGAGAATTCGGTGTTCCTACTGGGGCATTTAATCTTATCTACTGAAGACTAAAGACCTCTGACACAAATAAGCAGTAGTTACCTTTGGGTGTGTGCTCTAACAACTGAAGAATTGCATTTCGGTCTGTTCTTCAACATAAAAATGCTGGGCTTTCCCTGCTTGCTTCTTTACCGTGCTCCAAATGTTGTACATGATAGAGTGTATCTATGAAAAATGATGAATTGTTGTTCAGCTTTTATGTGCAAAAATTCCAGCACTATGACTGAAGTATATTTCTCCATAACAAAAGGGGGAGAGGGAAGAAGCTATCACCTATGTTTTGAACATATAAGTTATGCAAAATGATGCACTATCTGGTGGTAATTTGAATTTGAAAAGCATCAGACACTGTGAATTTCAATTAAATTTATGGATCATAGTTTATTTTCATTTATTTGTGTTTGGTTTTGAAAATTCATTGTATTATTACAAGAGGACATAAAGTCTGTTTGTAGTCCTGGGAAATCAGGCATGCGAATAGCATTACGCTCTTTTATTTAACTTCTCTTTCTTTTTAAATTCAAAATACCTTTTGAAATTAAAAACAGACAAATGCAGAAAGCTTTCATTTCTACCATTTGAGGCCTCTTTCTGTGCAGTCTCTGATGACAGCTTTATGATTTATTTAATCATGAAATAGAAAGGAGGTGAGAGAGAAAGGCATTTTGGACTCTATTTGCATAAAAATTATTTTCTTCTCCAACAGTAGTGAGGTAGCTGTTTAGACAGTTTATGCGTCTTTATCTTTCATGTGAGATATCAGGTCACTGCCCTTTTCTCTTTCTCTGTGAGAAGCCCCTGAAAGCCACATAATAAAATTGCTTGAAATAACCGTAATAATAATTTATAATAATAATATAAATCTGCATGATTCTTATCATAAAAGCAGCATATATATTATTTTCAGGCTACTTCAATAGAATGCACTGATAAGTATTTCCTTGCTTTTTAACAGCAAAAAGAGGTTAGTTCCACATATTAATTCCCAAAATTTACTTTATTTAAGGTCTGCTGCATTCTGAGAAGTTACATTGATGCATCAAGAAATTTCCTCCAGAGAGCAGGAGGGTGTATCAGCAGGGATATGGCAACAGGGGTGCAGCCCGCATGTGTACAGACTGCTTGGTCTAAGAAGGAATGAAAGGAGATGATTTAGCATGAGCAAAATAGGTAACTCACACTGGAGAGCCACATCCTGCTTGAGGGAGTGCCTAAGACAGAAGTATAATCACCACAGGCTGCTTCTGTGTCTGATGGAGGATGAGAGGTAGCTCCAGTAAGAGACATTTCACCAACTGCTGCTGGTTCACACTTGGCACCTCTTCACATCCGCCTGCTGAGCGTAAGGTGACAGTGCTCAGCATCTCAAACTGGGGAGGTCTTTTGAAGTGAATCTGACCCTCTGCAGATGACAGCCAGGAGCCAGTGATTAAAACACTGGTAATAGGAATAACATCAGTGAACTGCCTTGCCACCATGGGGAGCAATGTGCTAATGAAGGGTGACATAGCTGTTAAGAAGCAGCCCTTTCCAGTGCATGGGAGAAAAAGATATTGAAGTCCAAACCAAAAACTTAAGGGCTTAGAGACAGTCTGTGTGAGGGGTTACAGGAGGTGAAGCAAGCTTTCACCAAGTCTGAAGTTGTCTTCTTGTGTTTGGTCTCAGAAGAGAGGCTAAGTGAGCTAGGAAAAGTATATATTTTATGCATTAGATTTCAGAAACTCGTTCACCCATTTGGCATTTCAGGACCCAGGCATTTGGTTTTGTGCTTTGTATAATGAAGATTACTGAAGGATGCTACCAGTGCCATACAGGTGTGGAGCTTTAGGCATATGAAGAATAATGTGTGTGTTTTGTAAATGCTGGTGGCATCTAACTGTTGGATCAGCACACCTGAAGGGGCATATGGCTCTTCACGCTCTTAGAAATCTGACTTTTAAGTATGCATTGAGTCATTTTTTGTAGTAAGATTAGTTTGTAGGAGTGTTGGACGTTTATCACTTCTAACAGTGCAAATATCCAGTACTCCCAGCTAACAAGCCAGATATGTAAGCCTCTCTTGCTGCCCAGCTTTAAACAACCAAATGTGAAAAGCCAGCCCTAAGCTCTGCAATCCTGTTCCCTTGTGCAGATCTCTGGCAGGTAAAGAAAGCCATGCACATCCAAAACAGTAAAAAACATTTTCCAGGAATGTGTATTCTTTTAAAGTATCTTCACATGCAGAGCCACTCTATCCCTTGGTTTATAATAGAGGAATCCCAGAAACCAGCAGTGGCAGGTATTTGTCACTGGAAAGAGGCAGATCCCAAATTAGCTTATATCTGCTTAAATTATTTCATTCTGGTTAAAATACAGAGGGGAATGGATGCATGAGGAAAAGTTTATTCAGTTTTTTCCCTAATCAGATTTTTGTAGGCAACATCTCTCATGCAGTGACACCATATAAATGTGGGAGAGTTTATGAAAGTCTTGTATTTGCCTTGGTGTCTGGTTATTCATTTTATTTCACCTAAGATGAAGTACTGGACCTCATATTCTGTTGCTCAGCTGTCTGTGTCTCCAAAGAACTCAAGCACACACATTTAGTCTGAAAGGAAATGCAAGTTAATCATCCACAAACAGTATTCTGATCTAATTTCCCATCGCTGCCAGTAGGTTCAGTGATTTAATTCCATGAGGATATAAAATATAATCAGGACTGAGCTCTTTGGGAGGAGAAATACTAATGGAGTGGCCTATGTTAATCTTGTTTCATTAGTTTTAAAATTTTCTATTACTTGCTTGCAACCTTATGCCATCTGCAAGAATTACCATAGGGACAGTCCTCTCTGTATTCATGTATTGTAGTTCTCTTTGCCCTGCTGCTGAATACTTCCATCTCAGCTGGTGATCCTTCAAATATTTTTGCATGCACTTTAACTCACATGTCAGAGAGGTCATTACTTAGCTAAGTTTTAGTCCATTGGTTGTCATGTCAATATGCAGACAACACAGACAAAATTAGATCCTTCAAAACCAAAATAAGCCCAAGATAGATAATGCTGTGCTCATTGCCCATGTGCCTCTGCTTTTCCACCACCTATAAAAGGTACCATCCCACATTTTGTCATAGAGCTGCTCTGGAGTGATTCCATGAGTGTGGCAGTAGTACGCAAATGATGATTTCCATTCTCTTCTCTGAATTGGAAATTCAGTTTTGCCGATCTGCTCAGATAAGGAAGCTCTTCAAGCCAGCTGCTCCAAGAGAGGGGACTACTTGCTCAAGAGAAGGTAGTCTTGCAAGGCTGGATCTGGCTGGAAGGATGCTAAGCAAGGGTCTCCCTCCCCTCTGGCCCACTCAACACAGCATTCACACAGTTTGCTCCCAGAGTGGGATGAAAAGTTTGTTAGCATCAGCAGCAAGCACAGCCCAGGCAGCTCTCTCAGGAAGTCAGCTGCTCTTCCAAAACCTCTCTGCTCCCTGCCACAATTGTATTTAATGCTAATGAAGGATCAGAAAAGTGGAGAGCAAAAGCCAACTTCCTATTCACCATCTAGGTCTTGATATACTTGCACTGTATCTTTTTTTAGGTAGAAAACTGGATTTATTTCTGTACTGTTAAAAAATCTGCAAGGTTTGACTGAATGAAAAATGGGTCATCTATCCTTTGTGAAGTCAGGCCTTTTGCAGGGGTCCCATGAATCTGCTAGTGTAAAGGCCCAAATTAAACTCAGTTTGACGCTTCTTCCTAAACTTTTCTTAAATTTCACTTGGATCAGCCTGTAGCTGAAATACAGCACAAACACCAAAGGCAAGAAACTCAGTTAATGGTCAAAAAAATCTGCCTTTGCTTCTCTGTAATTTGACTTAGTAAGCTGGGACTCGGTTATAGTGGTTGGGTCTGAGGCTACTCAGGCCGATGTTCAGTTGGTGGCAAATTCTGCCTCTAACTTTCCGTTTTGTATCTGGACTTCATGCTTCAGGTG